GATCTTATGGTTTAAGTGCGAGGAACATGATATTTAATAAAGAAAGGTAACACACAAAATGTTAAAAAACGCCCCTTTGGACGTAATTTAAAATCTGAAACATTTCAGATTTTTTTTTTTTTCGATTGAATTAGGGAGAAGGAACTATAATATTCGTATATGTTCAACATCCATCATTAGTACATGGTGAATGTCGACATTGACCGGTGTAAGTCAGAAATAAGAGTTTTTTTAAAATATTTCGGACATACACCAAGCGACTATATGAATGTTGACATTCACCGGTGAAAGTCGACATTCTCCAGATTTCGGTGTTTCACCATAACATATACATAACAAATTGTGACATTAAAAAGTCACAACTTGTTTCGCACTCTAATCGTGCCTATTCGAGTATTCAAGAACATTTACATTTTTGATACTCTTGCGATAGAAAGAGAGCAAAGAAGCAAGGTCTTAGTAATAACAAGAATAGAAGCAGAAGTGCGCATTTATCCAATATGGATATTTATCAGGAGAATATCACTTCTTAAATTTGTTTATTCAAGTTCCGAATTAGCTTCGTCAGAGCTTTGGTTTAGGTTCTTCCTCAGTTACGTCAACAGGGTTATTAAGTCATGTGTATGGATTAATCTAAAATAATTTTGATGCATTGTAGATGCTAGAAGAGACACGTGTAAAATTTATTGAATAAAGTTTAAGAGCTTTTGCTAATTAAGTTTGTAATTTATTAGAGATAAAGTTTCTTATTTTATATTTAACATATAGTATAAATATAAGATAAAGTCCCGATTTCTGATATATTTTTAATTAAACACAATACCATTTCATTTTAATGGATATAAGAATTAATTGAAGTGAATTTAATATATGGCTAATTTATTAGAAAACGTTTTGAAATATTCACAGCATGTATTTTAGAAAAATGTATTGAATTAAATGTATAAACAAAGCACAACTGATACATTTAGATATATTACAGTTCCATAATGCATATTTTCATTAATGACTACTCGAAAAATAAAACTATTAGGTATTACAAACTGCCAAAATATTACATTACACATCAAAAAGAATTATAGTAAAAACAATCAAAGATAATTTTAATTCAATGAATAAATAACATTTTTCAGAGAAAAAAATATTAATGATATATAAAACACTTTTTATTGCATTTACAGGCCACAGAAATCATCATTTAGCAATACCTCTAAACTTATTGCGATTTATTCACACGATTAATATTCACTTATAGCCGTTGTTAGTATTATTAGCTGATAATTGTCTTTTATTATTTCTCATGCTTGCCAAAAGTCAAGGACTAAAAATAGCCATAGAGCTTTTCAGGAGGGTGTTTTATTCATTCTTAGACTAATATGTTGGAAAAATAATAGCAGAAAAGCAAACTCATCCAGAAAAGGTTACATTTAACAAACAGAGATACTCAGTGTTAATTGTAATTAATTAACATCGAGAAACTCTATAATTAATGTATTAATGGATATCACTGGAGTAAATTTGTGGTCTTAAAGCAAATGCAATTTATGAAATGGTTCTTTAAATTTTGCTCAGGATCAGTGATATAAGAATAATGATTATAAAAAGCAGTCCAAGAAAACTATAGCATTTATTTAATGTAACGAAATATAATGTTTTCAATTTACATTTTCTCATTACAATTACGGATTTTAATAATGTTTCATAATGAATTTTAAATCAAAGGTTACTTATGCTGAATTTTATTCAGCAATATTCAATGAAATTTGCAATTATTTTCTCATAAAACGATTTCTTTTCTTCGTTACTTTTAGTTTTTTTAATGCATGACGTTGCCATTATTCCTAGACGGGATTTGTCCTATTCTATAACCGAAATATTTAATTAAATATCTTGGCAATAAATGGTTTATATGTCTTTTCAGTGAATGATATATTCATTTATATAATATTAAGTAATATCATTAATGATATTTTTATAAGAGTGAGAAATACATTTCTCATTTCACCACGTTATTTTAAGTAGAACTCAGTTTTACTGGAATTGTTTACATGCCTATTATATTCCAAATGTGTGATTAATGTGAGTCGTTAGGTTTTTTGGAACAGAAACTAGGAAAAACCGCATAGCCTTTGCCGGAATTCAAACTCAGGACTTCCTGATTGCTAGCTGAATGTGCTTCCAGTTAGGCCATGAAGGCACATAGTTAAGACGAAATATAATACCTTATATTCTCGTCCTCTTAAACTGCCTAATGTCTGGAGAAGCAAGAAGTCGATCACCAAATCTGGCAGTGATGACATTTCAGCCACCAATTTATAAACCGGGCACCATTGTCGAGTCATATCTTAAATGTTTTTCGTCCCCCGCTTAAAGGTGACTTGGTAGAAGGTTTAGGTAAATGGAGGACGAATGAGGGAAAGGGACACGGGCACCTGGTGGAAAGTCACGGAGGAGGGGGGCATCTGGAGTCTACCAGATGTAAGCAGGTGTATGCCCTTCGTCCTTCACTATCCAGAGATTATTGAAGAATGTAAGAGAAATATTTTACAACAACAAGACGTGAAAAATGGAATATAAAATATAAATATATAAATAAAATACGTATAAAGCAAACATAAAAACATAAAACGTAAATAAAAAGGAAAATACATATAAAACACCTGCGCATAAATACATAAAGAATACTAAGCAATTATATGTTATAATTAAACAAGTTACTCAGAGAACCAAGTTGTGCTTGCCCTGAGTCACATACACATACTTCGCGCAGGTGAGATCACACTAAATGAGGCATGCAAGTTTTGCATAGAGTGATGCCTTGTTCAATGAGCCTGACAGGTATCCCATGCAAGGGCTGATACTGAACCCAGGATCTTGAAGACTGATTGCTCCCCGATTTGTAACCAGGGTACATTTGTATACTGCTCCGTTGTTTATGTTGTTTGGAGGTGGTCGTAGACGCAGAGAGATGGCAAAAGGATAATTGCACATATAACGGTCAGAGTTATCCTCTTAGTTGCAAATATAGACGTCAGTATTGATATCGATATGCCTTTTGAAATAAGTAGGAAGTTGTCCATCGACAGTGATAAAGTATATGAGCTTGGGGATGGAGATGTGGCGATCAGAGAATTAATTAAAATGCAAAATACTTATAGTTTAACTAATCTTTCTACGATTACTAGAATATGAATCTAAAGTAATAAAACTTCATGTGAGTATCAATAACGTAGTTTTAGATTTGATAAATTAAAAAATGCGTCAATGTTTGCAAATTCGTCATCTAACTTCAATTACAGAACTTTCATTAGCATTCTCGCTTCTTTTCTAGAGATTTATGAAGTGTATTTCTAGAAATATGTGAAGTCTCATCTTCTACATAGAGTAAGAGTTATTATAAGGCGTCATGTAAAGAATGTCATGATTTTCTTAATGTTTGTATTTTTAATGATGTGTCTCCTACCAGTATTTCTTTCGTTTAACAGCATAAGTTTTTTGGAACAGAAAAATAAGGAATGTATGCTAGCACTAATGTATGCAGACAATAGAATTGTTTCAATGTTTGCATCACCATATAACGGTTTCGTTAACAGTAGTAATCATATCTCTGAGAGGAACACTCTTTTTACTAAAACATGTTATTTCGTTTTTGACAGCAGTAGCGGCTTGTTTTATTCAGTATAGCTTTACATTTCAAATTCTCTTCTCACGGGTCTCTCGTGTGTCTCCGAATGTTTTGTTCTATGTGACTGTATGTGACTGACTCATTGGTAATTTTGTTACTTATTTTCAATTTCATCTGTCAGAGTTCGATAGTTAATTCTTTCATTTCTTTTTTCGTTCACTACGCATCAACTATTATCGACATTATAGCTGAATCACGAGACTGTTTTCGCAGCAGTAAATGAAGCAGTAGATTCAAATCATTTACTCTGTTCATATCAACGTCAGATTTACTAAAAGTATCTCGACTAATAATAACCTGTTTCGCTGTTATTTAGACTTAGACCTTCATGATTTTGTTAACTGAATTCGTAGATACCAGATATTAAGTTCTCAAGAGTTCATATATCATCCCCTGAGTGAACATCAAGATAAAATTATGATCTTTTTAACAGCTTCAGTACAATGTACTTTGTAGCAGCTACAATGCCTAAATAGTGCGTTAGATGACTTTGTACCTATAGTGAGGTATTCGCTAAGTTTAATCTGGAGGATAAGGATCTCTGGACTATCCTTCCAGTACATGACTGGTACTCGACAGTTCGCCCAGGTGGCTCCCTACTTTTGGGGGCCATAGAAACCAGCAGACTTCCATATCACGTTTTGCCAATGGACACATGAAGTGTCTCTCCTATGACGAAGTTCAGGAAATTAAGGCCTGCACCAAGTGTAATGCTGCTCAGGCATCAATTGAACATATATTATTTTGTCTTGATTTTACACTAGACGAGGGTTTTCTTAGAGATCTTCTCTTTTTAGAAATTTTAGAGATATTTGGACTCATAGAATTGGTCTAAAAATTTTTGACTACTTCGGAGATTATAAACAGCAAAACATTAGACGCGGCTTGATTAACCATTAAAATGCAATCAGATTCTCTATGTAACCCGAAACAATTTCAGAAGCACACAGATTATGTGAATAGAGAATATTTATAGATGAATATACTCATTTATGGATGCAACAGTATATTAAATATCAACGCGTTATACGTAAGGGATTAATTAAAAATATTGCATACATGGAAAAATGATGCAGTTGTACTGTTAAATGTTTTGCGGTTAAGTTGACTGAACTTTAAAACAGCCAATAAGAATTGATTTTTATGTTGAAAGAAACAAACTATTTCCATTTCAGTATTCTTTAAACATTTTCTTATGATTACATTTTATATTTCCGAATAGTAATTCTCATGTATATATAACTTATATAATGATAAAATGATAAGATATGAAAATTGCTGTTTGTATTTAGAAAGATACTTCATACTTTTACAGAAATTCTTCGCACAGTAGTTCACCCGAAATTACTTCGAGCAGATATTGGAAAGAATGCCTCATTCAATTGCACTATCACAGGCGGACCGGTCGATTCCGTTGTGTGGAAAAAGGATATGAGGTTTTTAACATCTAATCCTCGAGTAAGCTTTCCAGTTCCAACCATGCTTCAAATTTCTAGAGCTTTGAGACAGGACGCGGGAATGTATCAGTGCTTCGCTAGCAGAGAATACCATGTCTCCCAAGCTGCCGCTCAACTTATTATTGGTGGTAAGTTCCAAAGTAATCTACAAGACTTGAATAATAGATTTTTATATATTTATATCTGCTATAAAAATTTTTGTTTCTAAATAATTAGATGTATAAAACAATAAATCCTAAATAATGATTGCAGAAATCTAAGGCTTATTCGCTTATTTTTAAGACAATTTTAATTGTATTTACATAAATAGTTTCCCTAAACTTTTTGTGTTTTAAATGTTCCATTTGATAACTTTTATGCTTTATTATCTTTCTGCACCGTGATTTCTAAGACAGTAAAGCTTTTTTAACATCGGAAATGGCATTTTATCCTATTCCTCTTGAATAGCTTTCCAAAGTCAAAGAGGGTTGTAGGTCGACGTCGGGACAATCCGCTTTTGAAAAGTAAAAGCGCAAAAATCTGTGTTTGATACATCAGGAGATTTAGTAGGGATGTAAGTTAAGGGTATGGCCTTGATACGGGATTTTGGTCCCATTTTGTTTCAGGAAATTATCCGTGGATTTTAAACTGCAGGTGCTTGATTTGTCTTCATAGAGTTCTACTGATTGATGGCACAGTGGGCAAAGGGAAATTTGGAAATTGGGTATAAAATATGTTCCTGATATGTAGAGTTGCCTTTAACGGTTTTCTGCATTCTATATAATTTTCGTTTGTCGTTGTATCAAAGACCAACAACAATCATAAATCCCTTTGAAAATCTTTCTTTAGATTCTTTGAAAGATATTCTAAGATTTTTTCTTCTCTTTGATGATAATAAATGTATCTCTTTTTATTTCATCCATTTAAATATACCCAGAATCCATCTATTGTGGCAACAGTTTTCCAATTTTGTCCGAATAATTGTTTCTCACAGAGAATTCTGCAGCGCGTTCTACTTTCCGCGATATGTCGTGGAGAAAGACGATAGACATTACGATTTTCACTCAGGTCAGCATTAAACACTTTATTTACAGTACACACTGAGTATTTTAATGATTATGCAACTGTCCTTTGACTTCGAAGATTTTCTTTTTACATTAAAGTCATTATCTTTGCCACGTTGGAAACACTCCGTTTCTCCCTTGGATATGTATTTTGAAAATGTTTCTCTTTGAATCCAAACTTTGACTTTTCCCCCTTCTTGTTGATAATAATATTTATAGTTACTTCAGATACCGAAAATTCCTAACTTTCACAGCATTTTTAATAACTAAATACGAATAACTTTCTTCGGAAAGAGCACAAACCTAGCCTTCCATCTATTGCTTCTTTGAAAACGCCATTTAGCATGAAAACAAAATTGTCAAATAGAGGAAGTTACAAAAACACTTCCAAAAATATAGTTAAAAGTAAAAAGAAATTCTCCAATTGAATTTCCTTTTTCAAATTCATTGCTAAATATCTAATTCGAGCAGTCAATTAAAAAAACTTTTTCTATGAAGTTGGTTGCTATTTGGTGGTACATTATTACCTCGAATAATTCAGCATACACATTTCCATTTCACGTAATATATTTAAATTTAACAGACATAAAATTTCAATGGTTATGTTAAAATTTTTAATTTTCAAGATTTGCAATATTTTATAATGTTTATTTACGCAGTACTAATGAAACAATGCAACAATTTCTTTTATGTCACAAACAACTGGTTTCTAAAAAAAATCCCATTCCAGTACGTGAATGTGAGTTAGCTGTTCGGTCAGCCGCACAGCAGTATTGGGCAAAATACATGCTGTATTGGTATTCAGTATTAAGATAACAAACATAAATTATGTAATCCTCGAAAAGTACTGTACATTTGTAAATCAACAGCTGTTGTTTGACAATGTAACCAAATAATATTTAAAATGAACTGCCGATGAAATCTATTGTGGTCTCAAAGGAGATGTTAGATATACAGATTGCGGTCGGCGAAGCAGAATACCTGTTTGTCAATATTAGCCACCAGGTATTCCCATCCTCCGTCTCGAATCACAGTTTATTTTTTTTCGAAAGAGAGTACAAAAACATTTTATGGAATGAAATATCTAGGGATTAATTGCATAGCAATACTGAACAGAAACAGGAGATTAAATTAATGTAGTTTAAAAATTTGGTTAAAGGTATATAAAATATTAACGCATGAGAGATTTCTGTAAAATATCCCTTTTAGTCAAATAAACGCACATACATAACTGTTGTGACGGTTGGCCAAAGGTCATGGCGAAAGTTAAGTTTAGCATATAGGATACCGTCTCCAGAATAATTACTTAAGTTTATGGAATGTGCCCAATAAGCAAATGTATTCCGACTAGAAATAAATAACAAATGAGTTGAAGGCAATAACTCAATTGTTAAAATACAGGAATTATCGAATATAACATTCAAATAATATTTAAACGTTACATGTGTAGGGCTATTTCTTTGCTTAAAAACACACAAGAAACATACTTTTGCACATTTTTATAATTTTATTTTTGAGTAGCTACTCTCTGAATGTCATAATTTCTTGAATAAATAAATAAATAAATATCATTTTATCGTTACACCAGAATTATCGTTCATAAGAAAATGGAATAAAACACATCTTGATCGTTCGTTATTGCGTCTGCTCAGAAGGCTGCACGTGCACATTAGAATATCTTAATCATACTTGCTAATTAATTATGATGACACAAAATTATACTTCCAAATTATGTCGACGGATATGGCCTTTAAATCACTTAGAATATTCTTTAGCCAGCACGAAGAATTTTTTTGGGCATTACAAATGCAACTGATTACCCATAGTATATGGTGAACGATAAATGAAGCTGGTCGAATACTTCATTAAAAAACGTTTTATTTCCACCAAAATAAAGCTGCATAGAACTATCTGCCAATTCAGTAAGGCTTTTACACGCACATGAATATTTTTAGAGAACTGGAGTTTAAAGAGTATACCGATGACTTATTCACTGCTATGTTTATGCACTTACCACGTTCACATATGCACCGATGCTTATGCACTTACCACGTTCGAAGCAGTGGCGATGGGGGTGAGGCCAACTTCCTCGTACCTTGCAGCGCTCGGTGAATAATGGTATGGTATGATATATTGAGATTACGACAAAGCACACTAGGGTTACCTGCCTAAGGGGGAGGGATGTCTTCGTGAAGGACTTTCTAAGGAAAACTGGCTCTTATACACGTTACACATGGAGAAAACCACGAAAACGCCCATGCAGCCAGCCCGTTCGCGGAATTCGAACCTCGGACCGAACTACCAGTGTTCAGCGACTTTACCACTCGGCCGCTGGGGGGCGCCGGTGAATAATGTGTTACAAAAATGGTTCGGTCAGACTTTATGCTATCTCGCTGAGCTATGAAGATTATTTCATTGAAATGACAGTGTACAAGCTTGCTTTAACAATAATATGTGCAAAATAAATAAATATTTGCTTAAAAAAAGACCTGGTTCAAGTAAAATTTCTTTGCAATTAATATGAGATATAAGAGTTTGTAAGAGGGTGGTATTTTAAAAATAACTAATTAAAAACCATTTCGCATGTAATGGGAAATAATAACTTTTTATTTTACTTTCATATTTTCAGAATTCAAAAATAATACAAGAAGTGTGTGACACGTAAAATATGACATAAGTATTCTAGAACGAAGCTGATCTAAATACCTCGAAAATACTTCTTTAACTGTAATTCCCGAACTTCTGGTTGTTTTCGTAAGATTTTTGTTAATTTTTTAACAACAGTTTGACCTGAAAAAATACTTTAATAGTTGTGTTTCTAAAAAGGCAAAATTAATAAGGAATTCGCCATCATGAATAATTGAAATTTGGTCTAAATAATCATTTAAAAGCATAATACCATCAAATATACGTACTAGGCCTGGACGTACTGCCCGAGCGCCACAATGCTAACTCTGATTATCTAGCAATTAGAGTTTTGTAGATCTGACCTATTCTTATCATTAGGCTTGTTTAGGCCGAATTTTCGAGCTAGCTTGTGTGCGATAACTAACCTATGAAGCCGTTAGGCTAAACTTAACTGCATTAAATTTTGAGTTATTCATTACCTTTCGAGTTAAGCCAAAGGTGCTGGCATTTGGAAGCACGAGTTGGTGCCATCTGTCAGCTTTATTTGAGTTAACAAAGGGTTCTTTACACCATTCTTCTGACTTTGTAGTACTTTACGACTCAGTGGTTATTCATTAGACAGTCTTCTAAAGTCGAAATGAGTTTATAATATCCAAAAGAAGACGTTGAAAATTAGAAGTCTATCATTTTCACACGGTTAAAAGATAATCAACAAAATTCTTCTTGAAGGCTGCAAATTGAATTTGCAACTTTTGAAATATGGTAAAATCTTCGGTCATTAATATATGATATATTAATTCTCGTGGCACCAGCAGAAATAATTGGAAAATGATTTCGTTTAGCAAGATAAGATTTGCACTTTTATAGCCAAATTTGTTATTCCTTTCTTCTATTTGCAGTACAAACTAATAAATATTATTTTGCTGCATATAAGCAGCAACTTTTCTTCTATCTCTTTCATCATCATATCCGTTTCGTGTATAACGTAGATACGATACCAGCTTCTATTAAAAAGCAATCACGAAGATATCCCTCCCCACAGTTAGATAGCCATCGAATTGCTTTACCGTAATCAAATGACCTAGCATTTTTATAAGGAGATATCTCTATCGTAGCTAATTATATTCCTCAAAGGTTTGGTGTAAAACTAATGTAAGGAAATGAAATCACATTTCCACTGAGAGCAAAGCTATCGTAACTGTTCAAAAGATGAAACATTCCTAGAGTATTTAAGTAATTTATTTCAGTATAATGTTCCAAAAATTGTTCTTAATATAATCCTTGCCTACATAATTACCAGAGTTTAAACGATTCCTAGGAAAGAACATTGCATTCGTTCTGCATTAAAATGCAAAATGCTTCAGACTGCTAAATTACTTCTCTTTGTAAATTAAATATATCTTGGAAACACTAGTTGCTTAAATGAATCCAGGCTTAAATTAAATAATTAAGTATTT